TGAGGTTTCAGATTTTTTTTGATCGAGAAGAGAATCTCTCTAATCTTCGTTTACAAACAACACCAACAAATCGATGTCTCCGAGCTTCTTCTCTTCCGATCTGAGCTTGAACAACCACCATCAACGATTGAAGTTTTCCTTTTCCGATTAAACTTTGACCATCTTCGCCGCCTTAACGACCGGGTTTTCTCTAGCGATCGCCTCGCGACCGGCGGTTTTGTAGTCGTAGCTACAATCGTGGCGATCTGAATAACGATGCTCGGAACAGAAAAGATCACCGCATCGGCATCTGAATCCGGTCAACCCGACTTTTTTCCGGCAACCAGAACATCGGTTAACGATCTGTTGATCTCTCTTAACCGGATCGATCTCTCTGTTACGAATCACGACTTTTGTTTGAGATGACCGTAGATTAACGGATCTAGCCGATCTCTTCAACATCGAACCGGAATCAACACCTCCTCCTCCACCGGCTGCTACGGCGGCGACGGAGACGGAAGCGTTGAAACATTTCTGACACATGTTGTTTGTCGCCGGATTCGCCGTAACGCCGCAGTTATTGGAACAGAGCGTCAAAGATTCGAGTACTTTAAACTCCGTTTCTTCCTTCTCCGTTCTCTGAGCCATCTCTTATATAAATTGAGAATCCTCCCCTTTGGCTCCTCCGGCGAGCTAAAACGTAAATCGATTTTGAGGAGAGAGAGAAGAGAAAGAAAGGTTGAAATGGAATGGAATATGGGCCTCATAGAGACGCGTTTCCAACTCTTATCATCTCTTTCTCTCCCACCATCCCCACTTTCCGTCTTGTGTTGAAATTACGTAAATGCCCTCGAAGCTTTCGCGGAATTACGGAGGATACTCTTTAAAATATTGCATTTACATGGTTCTAGATTGGCTTATGACAATACCCAGTTGACAAACAACAAAAAAAGAAATGGCTTATGACAACACACAGTGGACAATATGTGTTTCTCTTTCTTGTATATTATTTTTGATATTTTCTCGTTTAATCTTAAACTATTCTCTAAGTTTTTTAAAAACTTTTATAGCTGAGAAATGAGATTGAGGATAGTGGGAAATGAGATGGAATATGGGCCAAGTTGTTTATAAATGGCTATCGTCCAAATTCGAAAAACAAAACAAATTATGTTAATCTGT